TGGTATGTCGGCCGACTGGTGACCCCCCCCAAAACGACCCCCTAGATCCGCCCTTGTATATAATGCATGTGCACTGTGACCGCGTGCAGGTGCAGCCCACTGAGGTGGCTAAGGACTTTTTGGCTTTGAACGCGTCTCACCGCCACACATTTTAACCCTCGCCCTGGCAGGGGAGAGGGTCGATTCGATGCGACCCCCCCCCCCTCCGAGTTTTTTTTTGCGATCGCGCCGAGCTATCAGTCGGATCGTGCTGAAATTTTCGACAGCTCTGGGACATCTTTTGCTCAACTTTTGGTAAAAAAGCAGTTCCGGGTCATGTCAGGTCACCGAGCTATGACGTCATAATAGGTAGGTATCACCTCTGACCGTTTTTGACAAAATCGTACGTACCGTAACTGGACGTGATCTCATCGACAAGAACGAAACTATTCCGTGTGATTTGTCAGAATTTGACTGGAAATGAATCTTCACATTGTATGTTGACCTTTCTAAGATCAACCAATGTAATGACCTCGCATGTTCGCACACTGACCTCCGTGATATGAGCCGTGTTTAGTGGCGTTTCTTGAGGTCCTGAACCCGAATCTGTGGTTCAGTTTCCCCTAAATGCCTTCTGTTCCTTGACCTTTACAAGGTCAACCAAGGTCAATTACCTAGAATGAACTTCCGCCGGCGACCATCCTCGCCGGCAGCGGGCGTGACTTTTCGTGTTCCCGGGGAATACGTCACGCCAGTAATGACTGAAATGCAATCAATTTTACATCATCTTGTTGCTGATTCGTTGAAAGACACGGTCGTGAGAGTTTCATGTGGCTATCTTTCATAGATTCGCCAATAGGTACTGGCTAAGTAATTTGGAAGATTATAGCTTTTCCCGGAAATTTGACCTTTGACCTGCCTGCCAAGCCGCGTTATAAAAATGCGCTGCCAGTGCGAGGCTTAAAGGAAATAGTTCACATTTTAACATGGGTTTTGAACTGGAATAGCAGTTCCGTAGCTTGGGCTGAGACGAGCATAAATCAGGAGCTTTTACAGCCCAACGATCACCCTAGGCAAAGATATTCTATTTCTCGTCCCGAAAAAGGTGTCTTGCGTTGAGGATGTGTGCCTTGCATATATTTACATCCAGTATGAAACGAGCATGGGTCCCGAAAATTCTTCAGAAACTAGAGAAATTATCTACGAGAACTCTAGAGAAATTCTTGTACTGATCAATAAGGACATTCAGGGGAACATTATCGCCCTTGCCAGTAAAACTAGTAAAAGGGCTAACTTTGCATGGTTCTTTAATCTTTAATGCATTATTTCACGCACTGGCGGATCCAGGGTTTCAGCGCGGGGGGGGGGCATACCAGGTCACGGAGCCAAACCTTCTCCTAGGGTACCCCCAAATCCTGTCTTCTCATCGGATTTAGGCCACTTATTTTTCGTCATAGCCCTGACACGATAGTTTTTTTCTTAAAAAAAAAACAAATGGTAGGCCACCTGGGCCCTGTTTCACCGGTGATAGCAACACGCTGCTCGGGGTTACATGAGCAGAGTTAATACGCATTACAAACGGACTACAGTGGTGAGCGAATAGGAAAATCCGTTCCTGATACGCATTTACTTGCTCATGTAACCCCGGTAGCTGCTATTACACGTGGGGCGTTCCACGACAAATCGACAAATAAAAAATCAAATTTGCACCCTCATATTTTATTTTTCGTTGAAAACTGGTGTAAGGGGTTGTGATGGGCGGGGAAGCCAGCTGTGACAAGGATTTTTTTTTCTTCGAACAACGGTTTCCGAGATATAGCCTCGGGCAATTCCAGCAGGTCGCGCTGCAGCCCTATGTTTGGCGGCCTATAACTCAGAAACTATTGGTTTTCTACGATAAAAACTTTATATGGTTCAACTCACAATCAGCCAACAAACATTTTGGCTATCTCGCATTTTCAATTTTTGAAAATTTTGATCAGGTGACCTTTTGACCTATTTTTCGAAGAGTGACTTTGATATTTTCCCCACTGAAAGTTGTAATTTTGTCTGATGACGATTAAAGCCTTATCAATTGTCATTCATATGCGAAAATAAAAAAGTGGATATCGCCCTGCGTTGACCTCAGGTCAGGTAATTTTTATGACCTGTCCATTATTACGAGCGGGAGCGACAGCGAGATCTCGAGAATAAAGCAAGATAGCGACAAGCGGTAAACGGTGCAGGGTACAAATGGATAAGGTCTATAATTTTTACTGAGGTCATTTTCAGGTCAGGTCAAAGATGACGTCACACTTGCCGGCCTATCTTGCCGGCCCTCACTTGCCGGCCTATCTTCAGGAGCCCTGTGGAGTCCTTATAGATCGGCATGGGACTCTCAGGCGTCGCTGCAGCGACGCCTGAGGGCTCTCATGGGATGACTCCCTGGGAGCCCTCAGAAGTCAGAGTCACCAGTGTGGGGCCCACAGAGTTGCAGGTAGGTAGCCGTCAGATGCGCTTGTGTAAGACCTTCAGAGGCGCCAGTGTGGGGCCCTCAGAGCCGCCGCCGATGTAGGCCCTTAAGAAACATTGGTGTTAGTCCCTCAGATTGGTGGTATTGGGCTCTCAGAGGCGCCGGTGTGAGGCCCTCACAGGCGCCGTTATGGGCCCTCAGAGACACTGGTGTGAAGCCGTTCCATGCGGGTATGGGTCAGGACCCTAGTTAGAGCTGAGCTGACGCTTAATGGGTCAGCAAGAGCACTCAGAGGCCAGCACAGGGCTATCAGAAGTCGGAGTGGGGCCGTTATGGAGATGTGTGATGTGTGGCGACTCAGGAGCCCGTGTCTCCGTGAGGTGCTCTCACGAGTCCTGCGGGTCTTATATCAGTCGAAATGAGGCACGCTTGGACCCTGAGCGGCCACTAATTGGCACTGCAGGGCCTCTCGGGCCCATAGGGCACCATGCATCTAATGAGGCGGCACGCGCCCCTTGTGTCCCCCCCCCCCTCCCCGCTTACGCTGCGCTGGCTGCGGCCATACAGGTAAATCGTATTCTAACCGTCCCTATTCCCAAGCATAGGCGGCGGCCGATTCCTGGCTTGCGCAATATGACTGCCGTCGTTACGCAATACGGTCAATAGGGTTGAAGCGGCATTGCTCCCTTGTGGTAAGAAGCAACATATTTTTAGACAAAATAAAGGCAATGACAACTAAATTGAGGTTACTAAAACGACTCTGATCACAAAAGTACCTAGTTACTAGGAAGGCTTTCTAATCAATTTTTATTTAGTTCCTCGTTATAGGCGTAAGAAGTGTAAGTCTGAATGGGGGGGGCATACTTGTACTGAATGCCCCTCAGGCTCCTGTCCGGGGGGCATATGCCCCTAAACTATTATGTTGAGGACTCGTTTTAGGGCCTTGGGCGGGCGGCCGCGGATGGGGTCTGGGGAGACAGATAGACGGACGGACGAACATACGGAGAGACGGATGGACGGACGGACGGAGAATGGAGAAACGGACGGATGGATGGACGGACTGAGAGACGGAAGGGCGGACGGACGGACGGAGAGACGGACAAAGAGATGGACAGACGGACGGGTAGAGAGAGAGAGAGAGAGAGAGAGAGAGAGAGAGAGAGAGAGAGAGAGAGAGAGAGAGAGAGAGAGAGGGAGAGAGAGAGACTGAGAGAGAAAGAGAGACTGAGAGAGAAAGAGAGACTGAGAAAGAAAGAGAGACTGAGAGAGAAAGAGAGAGAGAGAGAGAGAGAGAGAGAGAGAGAGAGAGAGAGAGAGGGGGGGTGGTGAGAGAAAGGAGGATAAGACTAATGAAATAAAAGGAAAAGACTAACAGAGACTTCAGGGAGGACGGCAAGGAGACTGATACCTACAGAGAGGAACAGTGGCGGCGGAACACCTTCAATTAAGGGGGGGGGGGCACTGCCAACTTTTGGTCCCACTCTTTCCATGCAACGCCCATAGGGCTAATGCTAAAATGCCAAAATCAAAGGGGGGACGGTGCCCCGGTGCCCTCCCCGTTCCGCCGCCTATGGAGAGGAAAGATGAGTGAGCAAGGGATTTGAGAGATAGGTAAAGAGACAGGGAAGAAATGAGATTTTATTGCTCCGCTCCTAATAACACTTCCTAAAATAAAATATAATTGGCCGTAATTATCGAATAAGAATCGGAAATTGTCAATTGAACGTCTGATTCCCTTACATTAATCGACAATCCGCCCTATACCATGTTTGACATGTTTGCAGTTTGCACCAAAGCCAGCTTGCAGGTTATAGCCTATACATCGAGGCAGTGGTATATACTATACAGCCCGGTGAATTCCTGCATATAGCCGAGACCTCCGGCGGTATTTTCCCACGATCAGCCGGATTTCAAAGTCGTGTATTTTTCGTCCCGTGGCAGGCGGCCGGCGCAATCTCGGGGAAAGAGGCGCTCCAGTAACAAAAGCACGAGCAGATCGCCCAAATGCCGGCGGCCGCGATAATTTCTCTAGTTTCTGAAGAATTTTCGGGACCCATGCTCTTTTCATACTGGATCGCGTGTGCCTTACAGAAACTTAAAAGTTCTTCCTATATCAAAAATATAGAAAATAATCTTTTGTTATAAAAAGGTTTTATTTTCTTTGCTGATCATTTTGAACATAAAAAATCATAAATCCATTGCAAAAAATAATTTCGTGAAAGTGAACTATTTCCTTTAAGATCTTTTTAAAGTTAGATTTTATTCTTAACAATTTTCCACCCTTCCCACGTATCTCATCCCACACCTGAAATATAATATTTGGTCTTCGCGGCCTTCCATGTGGTCCCCAGTAGCTTCAGACTCGTGGTTACGCGCCTGTGTAACATATATATATATATTTTTTATACACTGTGAGTACAATTTATTGCATAGGTAGGTATATTTCATAGGCATTATAGGTATGTTTACTCTGGGCATTATGGCATTATGATTATTTGTTTTATTTCCTCCTCACTAGCATGCTTACTCTGTCTACTTCTTTCCCTCTCCCTTTGTCTTCGCTACTCACGAGGGTAGGCGGTGTGGCACACTCTATCCAGTTCCCTGATCATGCTCCACCGCACCGTTTCATCGTGGTTGGCAGCGCATGGCTTCGTCGAAATTCGACACTAAGAAAAAAGTCACAAAATGCTCAATATGTTGAACATTGGGTCGTTGTGACTTATAGTTCATTCATAGGCGACATCGAGCTCTACGATGAAAAAATGAAAAAAACGAAGAATATTCCTTGACGAACTTCTTCGCTTCAATAGTCAGAACTTAGAAGTGACCGTTTTGACTAATGTCTGCAATCGTTTCCAGCTAAATCAGGAATGAGGCGCCGAATTCGGAATGTTTGAGCACTTGACATCCCAGGCTCATTCAAGCATTTAATGGAAAGCGTTAAGTTATTTGATTTACTGTATGCCTGGCCTATTCAAATACATTAGCCAGAGGGGTGTGGTAATAACTGGTGTAAGCAAATTGACCACGGTCAAAAATGCATTACCAGAATGCACTTAAGCCAACATTTGGGATGGTCTCGTTCCTAAGTCGGCTAAGAGCTTCGGTCTAGACAATTATTTTATCGTTGGCATACAGTAAAATACATACCAAACTCGGCCGGTGATAAATTTTCAAGACCTCAGTCCTTACTGATTTTTGAACTCGGCCTTCGGCCTCGTTCAAAAATCCAGTAAGGACCTCGGTCTTGAAAATTTATTTACACCGGCCTCGTTCAGTATTATATAGTGCCAGTCGCAGTCACGCGGTACTCACATCTGTGATAAAGTCAGATCTTTTGTGGGGTATGGAGCTGAAAATAATCACACACGTCAGAGGACAGAAAACATCAATTTTAATGTTCACATTTGCATGATTGCTTGCTCCGTGACGCCATATATCGAATATCCTATAACGGACGAATTTAGTCAACGAATTTGGAGTCAAGTAAACACATCATAAACCAAATGATAAAAATCGGAACATTGGCATTAAGTAAAAAATGCAGGGTATGTAGTTACATGTTGCATGCAACACATATACCAAACACTATTATGACTCTATTATAAGCTGCAGCAGTGGTACTCACCTATTAAAGTCAATGGCTGTACACAATGTGACGGCAGGCAGCAGGAACCCTTCCTCGCCGAAACGACGCCACTCGAGAGATAACAAAGTGCTACTGCCGAGGTATTTGGAAACGTTCGCGTGGATCTGAAAATAAATAAGAGTCTGAATGCATCTCCCTATAGGCCTATACCATAGACATGTAACAGGATGATGAGTCTGATTTCCCCATTTACATAATTGTAAGATAATAATTTATTCTGGATTTTTTATTCAGACGTCAAAGCCTTGCTCTAGTAGCAAAATAGACATTTTATGTGCTATATCGCTTTATCGTTTGCTGTGTTGAATGATCACATATTTTCCCACGTATTTTAGCGATGACATCCTTGCATACGTTTCAATGCTGAATTCCAGTCCCACGCGAAGTGAGCGGAAATTAGAAGAGTCATATAATTAATGGATGATCGTTTCCAAAGTCCATATTCATCGATTACACATAACTCCTTATAAATTTCACTAAAACCAGAGTGACATTTACCTGCTCTGCCCAGCCCGTTTCCTTTAATCCCGTGTTGTGGTACCTGGCAGTGCAAAGCGACAGCGGCTCAAGGCACGGCAGGGGTGCTGACCACTCACCTCCAGCTGGCATAACTCTGATCTGGGAAACCGAGCCCCTTCACTTCGCGGCCTGAATGGGCATGGCTCGCTGGGCCAGAAGGCGCGTCATTCAGTTCACGATCTATTGTCCTCGGCAGCATTGCAGGTAACAGGAAAGACGCGTAACTGTGGGAGCCCATCAGTCTCCAGAGTCTTTTTGCAGTTAACATGTCGTGCCGGAAGCCAGGAGTCATCCGAGCCAGGCAGTCTGCCGCGGCGCAGTGCCCACGATCGCGGACTTTCCACCGTAAACGAATGAAGACGAGCGTTATCCACCTTTACGGATATGAATGAGCTTTTTCTGTATTTAGTTCTGCTTTAGGATTTAGGACAAGTTTATTTATTAGGCGAAACATGGGTTCATCGAAATAAGTGGTGGTTACGAATCTGAAATATCCGGGAAGTGTGTGTTGCGGCACAGTATTTGAAGCAAACGTGCGTCCCGGTGCATCTAACATAAACACAAACACAGCGCATATAAGCAAACGATCAGACAGAAAGACGAGGGCAAATTGAGACACTCGGCGGACCACTCACCTGAGCTCCAAGCAATGAGAGGCACGCAACCAAGATGGAAAGGCGGAAAAGGGCTTCGAAAATGATCGTCAGACGGCTGGGTGAAGTCTGCTCCTGACCTTGTGGCATGACTCGCACTTCTGAAGGTGCAATACTCCGTGGGGGAGCCATTCTCAGGTGATCGTCCTCAGGTTTAGGGGTCTTGCTGTTCCTTTAAATGCCTGGACGATAATTTTTGTCTCTTAGTCTACAGTCAAATGCTTTGCCTTCCAGCTGTTCTTCGTCAAGTTGCCCGTCTTTTCGTTCGTTTATCAGCCATCCGTTAATTTCTGTCAGAAGGTATTTAGCTTTCCGCTGGTCACTGCTTCAGTCACGGGGACGAGACGGTCAGCTCACTCCTTCTTTCATCCTCCCATTCATGAGCTGATCGTCCGTTCACTGTCTGTCAGTCCGTGACTACGTGCCGTCCTTCGTCCGTCCACTGTATGTCCGTCCATCCACTGTTCGTCCGTCCAGTCTTGGCCCGTCCGGCCCGTCAGTCCGTTCACTCTATGTCCGTCCCGGTCCGTCAGTCCGTCCACTGTATGTCCGTCCAGGTCCGTCCATCCACTGTTCGTCCGTCCAGTCCCGGCCCGTCCGGCCCGTCAGTCCGTTCACTGTATGTCCGTCCCGGCCCGTCAGTCCGTCCGTGCCGTCCCGGCCCGGCCGCACGCACTGCTCCCCTCGTGTGCCTCTCACCGCTGGGTTTTCCAGAGGCCGGACGGGTGGGTGGTGGGCGCGCCCCTCTGACCGGCCGGCAGGGACGGGCATCGATCAACCGGCACCGCGTGTCGTCCCAGCGACAGCCAGCCATTGTCTGCGCGCGTGGCAGGTGCGCGGGGCACTGGGACGTTCCCATGGAACTGGTGACGTGGCTGCACCGTCGGCCGTCAGAGCCGCCGGCGTCCCCATGCAAACTCAGTCGCCGACTGCCGCCGCTCGCGTCCCTTTGGTCCACAACAGCCATTCAAAGGAGCGTTGATAAACGATGGGACGTAGGCCAGCGGCCTCGCGCGGATCTTGCCGATAATGTACGGCTTCATCGAATGTCCATCCTTGTCCAAATGGTTAATTGCTGAAGACTTCATGAGTTCCCGCCTGTGAATCGCGCTGTAGGTCCCGATCGCTAGCAACACTAATGCACAAAACTCTAGGTACAGCATACATATTGCTGCAGGGCATTTTGCGGCCGAAGGATTTGTCACTAGGGGATAAATGATTAGCTATCTATTTGATTATAGCGATATTCGTAGCTCGGAAGGGCCTTAGCACGATACAACTTTCGGATTATTTCTTTTCTCGCCAGTATCCACCCCTACGATGACATTTGCATTGGTCCGGATACGGTAGGTATATGTTAAACGTTACACTAGAGTGGACATGAATAAAAACGTCATGGCCAGGTGTATGCTGACTAGTTTATTCTCAGCGTCAGTCAGGGGCTCAAGTGGGCGGAGGATTTCGTCGAGCAGTTTTCGCAGCACTGTGCGGATCGAGGCGAGGGGCGGATGTGGACGGGAAGGAAGTAGGATGGCCTTCCGAAAACCCAACACGTTTCGATTGAGGCAAGCGAGCACTTCGACCACGCTTCCGCTCTGGAACCAGGAGTGGCAGGATGGTTTCTGCCTACCGCCTAATTACATCTGTCAAACAACTTCCTTCGTCAGAATCCAAGCACACGCGGCCGTTATGAAGGAGTTGTCAGAACCACTGCAATGCATATTTTCCCTTGGTCTACCGCAGCGTTGGACTAATGGATAACCTAGTTGTTTTAGCTTTTTGCCGTGTCTGTCCCAGCCAGGTGTTCGGGAGCCGACAGAGGAACACCAGCTGGAAAACGTCACAGGCGTCACAGCCATTCGGCGGAGAATACACGCCCACGGTCGTCAGTCAGGGACACAGTCACACAGCCGTCAGACGCAGTGGCACACCCGCCCCTGTCCACGGTGACTGCGGCGGTCAACTGCCATTCAGCCGCCCCAAGCCACCGAGACCGCAGGGAGTCCATATATGAATAAAAATACCGAGGATCATTAACGACAGAGAGTGCTCGAGAGTCTTAAGATAATCCACCCGACCCCTAGTCCAGTTCATTGGCACAAATCATAAACCATGGAGGGTCAGGGGTCGGAGTATATTACGGGAGTATAGTCCATAAACTGGTCTCTGCTGGCCGCTGGGCGGCCGGCTGTGATCGGGAGACGACACGACAAACTATAACTACATATTGAGCAATCATTGCTTCAAACCATTAAAAACACTCCCGAAACGCATCGAGGTGTCATAGTCATGGGAGAGGGGTGTACATACAGCTGAGCCCTAGACGGCGCACCGTGGGGACTTAGGCCATCCTAGCACGCATTAAGTGGCAAGTTAAAGTATTTCGATTTCCACTTTTTTGTTATTCATTCCACGTAGAATTGTCCAGCGCATCCGAATCACACCTTAAATCGTCTGTAAAATGATTGTTTATGCCTCAAAAAACCTCTCAAAGTGTAGCTTCGTCCTGACCAGCGTCGTGCTACCTGCATACAGCGAAAAAGCACACTACAATAAAACGCCCTCTCACTCGTTTCCCTGAACAGCAGGTTATAGTTGCGACATGTTTTCATTATCTTTGACTTATAAGGAATATGATGGTATGCACGAAAATTTCCAAAATTCATCCAAATGTATAATTTTTGACCGAAAAGCTTAAGATGTTAAAATGCTTCTTGGTTCAGAGAGTTGACAAGCGAACTATTGCCTTACAAAGTTTGATACGCGGTCTTACGCGTGGAAATGTATATCAAAATGTTCTCCAATAATTTCTGCATCGGGGGCAGCTCTCATTTTTTGCCGAAATTTGCCTAAACCAGTCACTATGAGACGTCAAAGCAGACGGTGCCGCGTGGTTTCTTACGCCGCGCCGGGCCGCGCCGCGGCGGGTTACCCGACCGCAGCACACCGCCTGGGGGTTTCCGGTCAGTATAGGAGTTGGGAGGAGGGAGGAAAGGGGTGATACCATGTTGACATTATTTTTCTTTCGCCAAATGTTCTTTTTGAACAAAACAACAACACCCTTGCAACGCTGCGTCCATTTTATTGGCTATCGCCGCCAATGTTCACCTTATTGAACTTCAGAACAGAGCTTTGATATAGGTAAATCGAAAAATGCTGTAACTTTGTAAAGTGAGGTTGGAGGTTTTTGGGGTGCTAATCACGAATTTCAAGCTAGTTTTGATCAAGGATGATGTTTTCATGCTAGGCCGGGTCAGGTCAGGCCCGACCAGTAGGTGTCTTGCCGGCTATCCATAGAAGGTAGGCGTCGATTACCTTTGACGGCTTCGTATAGCATGTTCCGTTAGGCACCAAAACTACTTAAATCTTCAAATGGGTGTTAAGTTCAAAATAAGCTCCAAGCACTTATCTAGAAAAATCGTATAACTTGAAAAAGTCAACTAAGGTCATCTAAGGTAAATGACCTTGATTTGACCTTAACGTGACCTTAAAATGCAAAGAACAAACAGCATTTCATGCCTTGGAGAGTTAACAACCACAGCCAGACTGAAAACGCGCCGATAATGTGCGCTGATAAGCGCCAAATCGATACCAGCCTGACATGGTCTGGTGAAACAGGTCACAGGTCAAATTTTTTTTAAGGTCAAGGTCATGAAATTTTAAGTGTGTGAGTAACATTGATCGAATCGAATGTATAGAAAGTTTCGTCGTGATCCGCCACGTTTTGCTTGAGTTAGTATGCGAAAAGTCGAGGACAGAAGTCTGTGCGACCCCCTCCCCCTTTAACCCGGCAGTTGCTGGGGTATTTCGCCACCCACCGTTTGCTGGGGGGGGGGGGGGGCGTTAAACGCCCCCAGCCGATAACTCGAGAACCAATAGGCGCAGCGAAACGCACGAGGCGGCAAACGAAAGAGCGCGACGAGACGCTTCAGATGAGTACTTTAAAGTTGAATTTTAAGGTCACAGGTCGGGTCAAGGTCAGGTCAAACACCTGAAATCGGGCTTTCAGTAGCATGGACTTCAGGACTTCGCAATGGGCGCCTCTCGCCATAAACTCTGTGAAAACGGTGCACAATCCATCTTATAAGGCCTACAAGAGTGTCAGCTCCATGTAGGGGTCAGTCAAGCATAGGTCAGGGTCAAGGTCAGGTCAACCGGGTAGGCACATATCCCCGAAAATCAAAACTGATATTCGCAGCCTGTGACACATGTTTTATAGGTAATTTGGGGCGTAGAACACGATGGTGACATTCATTTTATCATATGTGTACGTGTTTGGCTCAAAAAGTTCAATTTAAGAAATTCATGTATCATGGTCGTGAAGTCGTCACGAAAAATTGCCAAGATTCAGTTCAAGATTATGGAAAATGCGGAACGATAATCAATAATCGAAGATAGCCATTTGATTGATCATGGTATTGGCAGTCTAATGGCGTTTACGGCATGTCTGTATGTCTATTCTGTGATTTTATATGATTTTTTGAACATATGCCGTTTTTGGTCGAAAACTCAGAAATCATGACGTCACTAAAACCTCGATATTTCAAAAATTTTCCGACCGATTTTTTTGAAACTTTGTCACAATAAACTTCAATCAATTCCCTACAGGTACCCAAAATTTGGCGCGCCTGCGGCGCGCCGTTTTTATGCTATGGCCCGGCGAAAAAAGTGGGGGCGTTTAACGCCCCCCCCCCCAGCAACTCGCGGGTTAAGTGCAAGGACTAACAAAGTGCAAAGGTTAAGCCCGAAATGCCTTTTGGTGATTGGGCTAGACATGAACAAATATCTACTTCTAAAACGATTGTAGTTTCGTTCTACTTTTTTAACGCTTCCACGCCCACGATGCATTGCTAGCCGAAAACGCTTCAGTGCTAAGTCCGTGGGAGGGGGCGGGGGAGGGATGGGGTCAAGCAGGAGAGCCAACCATGTTGTCAGGGATCATACACCCTAAGCCTAACCATTTGAAGGTGAAATAAAATTAGTTAAGGTAGCGGAGGATGCGATATAAATAAATTCGTGCTAGGATCGATAAAAACCCCACAGTGCGGCGGTCGGGAGCGGTTACAACCGGCGAGGACAAGGGACTGACGCCTCCCGGCAGACCAGCCGTGCAGAGCTAGCAGAGCCACCGGGACCGACTCCCCGTACCGCCGCGCCGGTCACTGCGCCGCAGCAACACACGCAGCACAGCGCCACCGACAGCCCATCCGTCCCACTCGGCAGGGCCTGGGATTACTGTCAGCTCACAACCCAGCCGGATACCTACCGGCGCGGCGCCGCTCCGAGATTTACAGCCGGACGTTTTTCGCTACCGAGTGGCTCTCACCGCCCCCTCTCAGTTAACACCGTTTCACGCGTGTCTATCGAAGCGCAATCACACGGTACAGCAGAAGCTTGGTGAGTGGCGACTACTTCTTCTATGTTCTCTGAACTCTGAACTCCCTGAGTACTAAACTGAGCTCTGAGAAGACAGCCGATGATCCCTTGGAGGCGCGAAATCGACCCAGGAAAGAATAGCAGGGTCGAGAATAGGGCGATCTATGGACTGGAATCGGGAGGATAGAAGGGATCAACTTGGGAGAGAATAGGACACTCCCTGTCCCCTGGTCTTGGGAACCTCTCGAAGACCATGATGGTCTCTGGACCCCTGGAGACAGGATCCTTGATGGTCTTAGAGCTAGGTGTCATCCACCGGTCGACTGAAGAACAGCTATTTGCATACCTTAACACAGGGCAGCTCTCGTAATTTGAAAGAATGCGTATTAAGTGGTTTGAACCCACCGACTGGTTCATGGTCGCATAAAGTGTGAAGCGATTTCACATTTTATTTATTTCATTTCACGTTAACACCAACCGGAATGGTGAATAGCGCTAAAATCGACTGAGCATAAGGCGATTAAATGTGCGAGACATCACACCACTACAGGGTGTTGCAGGTAAATTGGGACTAAGTTCATGACCTTACAAAAAAATTGCTATGCGGAGGAACATCATGGAAATTTGACACAATATAATTTCAACAATTGTTTTTCATTTGATATTGAAATTTTAATCCTAACATATCGCGCAGTCATGGAGCAGCGTCGGAGGGAAACGATTGGTGAGTTAGTTCGCGCCGGACAGAGCGCGAAGGACATAATAAGTTTAACTGGGTACCCAAAGTCTACCGTGTACCGAACTATCGCGACCGTAGGAGCTGGAGGGGATGTCGCTCGACGTTCTCACACACCTCGCAGTGACCGAAAACGGACACCAACATTCCTGAGCGGCTTGAAACGCTCGATTCAGGCCAAACCGAGGACCTCGATGAACAAGCTTGCGCGTGCCCGTCACGTGAGCAAGAGCACCATCAGCAGAGCCGTGAGAGAGGACCTCGGGATGAAGTCGTTTACCAGAAAACGACGAAGCCTCCTGACCGAACCAGCAAGGGCGATGCGAAGGGAGAGGGCACCGAAGGTCCTCAATCTCCTCAAGCACCTCGGGAGTGACGTCAGGGTATTTGTCGATGAGAAAAAGTTCATCGTAGAAGAGGTCGCCAACCGCCGGAACTCGCGGGCTATCGCCTACAGCCCTGATGAAGTGGCTCCCGTGATGAAAGGCAAAAATCCGGCATCAGTGATGGTATTCGGGGCCGTCGCAAGTGATGGCCGCATAATGCCGCCCCATTTCATACCTGCTGGTGTGATGATCGACACTGACGCGTATTTGACCATCCTGAAGGAGTCTCTCATCCCCTGGATGATGAAATACTATGACCTGAGCAAAGTCATGCTGGTGCAAGACTCCGCCCCAGCACATGCTTCCCAGAGGGTGCAAGATTTCCTGAGCCAGAGGATCCCCCTTTATGTACCCAAGGACATATGGCCCTCCAACTCGCCTGACTTGAATCCATGCGACTTCTGGATGTGGGGCGTGGTAGAACAAAAGTCCAACTCGACCACTCATGCCAACGTTTCTGACCTGAAGAAGGCCATCAGGAAGGCAGTCAGCACCATTGACCAGGACGAGGCCCGGCGCGCGTGCTCCGCTTTCCGGCGCCGTCTCGAGAGGGTGCGGGACGCCGACGGCGGTCACATCGAGTGACAAGGCTGTGCGTACATGACACAATACACGTGCGAAGTTTCAACTTTCTATGTTTTCATTCACCGTATTAATAGCATGTTGAAATTAGGTTTGAAAATTCCCAATTTACCTGCAACACCCTGTATATTATCTTCGTACTTTTACATGGCGTGATGATTGCATTCACGATATCGAATAGAAGTAGTTAATAATACCATGTGAACATCTGAACATGCAAACACACGACAGACAAGTTGACAGTTGGCAGTGCTAGTTGAATTTCTGTCCCGAGTGACTCATGCAAAATCAAACATGTTGAACTATGTTCACACCAGAAGTATCACAGACGGTTACTGAAAGTGACGACAACATGGCACATCAATGATCCACAATAGCAAAGGCACAATGATTAGCATGCTAATACTGCAATGTCCATAGCAAGTCCATAGTACAACAGCAACGAGTGCGTAGGTTTCTAAGCGCTTAAAGTTCATCAGTTGCAGATCGAAGCAACCGGCAGTGTACGTAAACTTTACAACTTTCTTCAAGAAGCCTCATTATGTATGTGATGCGACATGTTTGAAACACTGCTGTCGAACGATTCATACGAATAAATCAAAAAGCTTTCCACTTTGTCGAGGGTAGGGCGCTCGGGCCGCATTGATCCCGACGTCATTACACCCAATTGCATTTCACTACACTTGATAGAACACAGTTCAAAAAAGCAGCTGTCAGGCAGCTTTTGCTAAAATGTCCAAGAACTCAAGTTTGCTTTTCTAATTTAAAAACACAATTCTAACAAATAGTGTTTTAACTATTAAACAAAAAAAAAATCTCTTGTGCCGATGGTGGAACTGGAAAAATGTGCAAGAAGGTTAAAAAACGCAAACAAGACACTATCGACATATAAAAACTGAAATGCATGCATAAGCTATACAAACGCCTAAAATACCTCTATATCAATGCAGGTGTTCATACTTCAGGTGAAAGAAGCTCTAATTAATATTTATAAGAATAATAATCCTGATTTGCCCGGAAATTCGATCACAAATTAATCACAATTCAGTGATGGCAGGCACGCGATCGACATACAATACCAACATAAAACACGTCACGTGTTAACAATGACTGTCATTTACATTCCATCCTCCTGAAATGCTAGAGAGGGAAACTGATCGGCCCACAATCACGAGCGGTTGCCGTCAGCCGGCAAGCACTTGCACAGTCAATGACGTGCATCGATCACATCACATCACAGACGTATCACACCACATCCATCAACGACAGCGCGTGGGCGGCATCAGCATTGCATGAAGTCGCGGCGGGCCGGTGCCAAAGTGCCGCCAGCCACGAACCGTGCCATCTGCGCCAGTTTCCGGTAGCCGGCGCCCGGCAGCGCGCGCCACAGGTAGGTCAGCTCGTGCGAGAGCAGCGAGCGCAGCAGCAGCAGCGCCGCCGCCTGGCCGAGCACGCAGGTGCCCATGTAGATGTCGCAGCCGGCGAGCCGCGGCGGCCAGCGGCCGACCACCGGCTCCGTCCGCACCAGGTAGGCCCACGCGTGGCCGAGGAAGGTGAGGCAGCCGACGGTTCCCGCCAGCAGGCAGCGCAGATAGACGCGCCGGTTGGCCGCCGCCACACAGTTGATGATGTACAGACAGTGGTGGTCGTAGTCGCGGACGCAGCGGGCGCACAGCCGACAGTGCCGGTCCGGCATCGCCAGCACCACCTGCCGGTCACAGGCGACGGTCACAGGCACAGCCGCGGGTCACAAACACAGGTCACAGTTGAGGGTCACAGCCGTGAGTCACAAAACATGTCACAATAGAGGGCCAGGGCGTAACTTCACAGATACACGGCACAGTCCCAAGTTACCGCTCCCGGTCAAAGTTGCAGTTAGAGCCTAGAGCTGCGAGTGGCAGCTGCAGTCAGAAATCTCGTCGCACGGGCCACAGATGCAGTGAGGGCCACAAGTCACAGGAGCTGTAACAAATATAAATAGCACGGCTGCACGTTTCAACTCTAGAAAATGGCTGCAATAGGTCACATCTAGCAGCTACACTTCATTTATTCGAATAACAAATCAATATGAACATGTTGCATTGGTCGGCAGCCGGAGACTACGTTGTGTCAAGGTCAGTGGTAAAACTCGGTGAGAACATCATGATTGCTCTTGAGGGATTATGCCACGCCTTTGGGAGTTTTTGAAGCAAGCCTGAAGCATTTTCCGATGGGATTACCAATTTCAGTCGCTAAATCCGCTGTCACTTCAGCGCAGGATACCTATCGACTTGCGTAGGCGATACCAGTGATTAGAACGAAATGTTAATGATATAACGAGTTCAGGAACGCATAAAACATCGACAATATTAACGGAAAAGATGGGCGGATCACCCTGAAGCCGGGCAAAACGGCCTGCTCTGGAGAGAGACGGCCATTTTTCGGCCACTCAAGGCTGGCGGCCGGTCATTTTTGCCGCGTGGGCGCGTCAGAGCGGGTGCGTCTCTGCCGGAATGGGGCCCGGTGTTAGTGGTACCGTGTCAGGCGGTGTCACCGGCGCCTGAGTCAACCGCGTCCTCCGTCCCAGGCGCCGACGAGAGCCAACCGCTCGGGTGCAGGCACCAGCGCCGGGCAACAACGAGTGCCACAGGAAACCCGCAGAATTGTACCGGGAGTGCAACATGGCCATAACTAATAATGACCCATAAAATAACATATCGTCCTTCGGACGGACGCGACCTCCGAAACGCGTCATGCCACAGTATTCCAGACAACTACTGCATAACGGAATTATGAATGCATCCCTATGTAGAAATGAATGACTTTGTTCATATGAAGACGTGCAGTTTTGATGAAGATATTTCAAAATATTCGTTGCAGATATTCGTTACAGGAAATCAGAACTGTGCGTCGAATTGTCGGCAGCGAGAGCCCGATTTTGAAGTTTTGACATCCCATAATAAATTAACCCTCGCCGGACCTATTGGCTTTTTATTTATCGATGGGAGTTGGTACGACCCCCTCACCGTTTTGCCCCTAATGAAGCTAGAGCTCCGTGGAAAAAAAAAACGAACGTGTGCGCCGTTACGAGACGCAGCGATTGATATCCTATTTTGAAGTCTCAGGTCAGCTCGGCTTTTGGCAAATAACTTCGCAAAAAATGGCCGCAGAGCCGCGACTTTAGCAGCATCGTATTCGCCTTAGGCAGGCACGTCGAATGGTATAGGTACTTATTGTTCAGGTGAGGTTAACGTAAGGTGTTGACCTGGGGTTAATGTCAGGTCAGAGCCCCTCAGGTCACGAAGCTGGTCGAGAAGGTCATATCGCATAGCATTCGATTCGGCAGGTCTTCCCGAGTCCATTGATGACTTTCCCGACTCACTAGCTCAATTTGATCTAGAGTTATTGACGAAAAACTCTATATGGCCCTAGCGACGTCATGCGCAAAGTAAGCAATGCAAAAGTGAAGCATTGAACCATAGTGTAATAAATAACTGTGTTATTTATTACACTATGATTGAACCTTGCAAGGAGTGTATGAAAGCACGATTTCATGTGCTTGAGATAGTTTTAGATCATTTTCGGCGCCAAAATAACAGTTTCTACGAGTAAATTTCCCAATTAACTTACGAGCCATTAACTAACAATTAACCCGCGCCCCACGGGGGGCTATTCATAGCCCCCTCCCATTTTCTGCAATAACTTCCAAACCGCTTGACGTATCGACGCCAAACTTTCAGTACCTTCGGCTGCATCAATTTGACACCTTGTGTCAAAATATGAACTTCGTAGCTACCATAGGTCGGCCGGAAATGACGTCAGAGTGACGTCATGTTCGGCCAATTTCGACGCAAAACATTGAACCACGGCAATCGCTCCCAAGAGCTCAGTTTTTAAGATAGATCCAATTTCTTTGCATGAAAGTGCTCAGAATAAACTGCGCTATCAAACTGCTATCTCATATTTTCAAAATTTTGAAAACTTTTAAAACTATTTAAAATAAAATTCAAAATAGGTATATATTTTTATATTTTTCCCATTTTTTTTTTTTACTTTTCGAAAAAACCGGAATATATGTGATAGAAAACATGCTTATGACTTACTCTAGCAAGTGTTAGCTAAATATCTTCAAAAATGGCCAAGTTATACGCATTATTGCAAAAAAATCACGATTATAAATTTGTCAAATCAATTTTTCAGTACGTTTTTGACATCGTACACCAATATTAATAGCACCATCGTGTTTCTGAGCTCAAACTGCATCCGATAGACATATTGTTTGTTGAAAAATTTCAACTTTGAAATTTGATCTTTTTTTACCTGAAAGTGACCTGACCTCAGCTACATTCAGATGAAAATGGCCTCAAATGACACATGCGACACCGAATTCCAAACATATGGCTTAACCCTCGCCCATGTAGGGGGGGTTGGTGCAACCCCCCCCCCCTGAGGTTTTTTCGGAAATAGTGCAAAAACGGCGGCGCGCAGCGCCGCCAAATTTTGGGTACCTTATGGGGCAAACCTTGCGCATCTTTTGATAAAGAAAATTTGACCGGGTCATGTCAGGTCACGGAGTTATGACGTCACAAAGGGAACAGCCTCCGGCCGGATTTTCACAAACTGAGTGCCAACGCCCGAGGTTTCCTGCCGGTGGTACGGTCATCGGTTGATGGATCGTGATGAAACTTCCCATGCATGTTGGGGCAAGTATTGGCTATCATATGGTATAAGAAACTTGACCGGGTCAGATCAGGTCACGGAGCTATGACGTCACAAGAGGAACAGCGTCCGGTACTATTTTTGAAAAGCGCCCGAACCACTATTTTGCTAATTCTTGTCACCTCAATGGGAATATGCAGCAATATTAGCTTCTATAGGGAGCAAATGGACCTCCGAAATCCAAAAATACAATCAGATTTGAAAAATTTAAATTTTGATTTTTCGAATTTCTGCCGCCGACTGTGACCTTGCCGACTTCCGGCGCTCCCAACGCGCCATTTTTAGAGCTAGGGAAACGAAATACATACCAAACGATAGAGAATTAATCAAGGAACACGATAGTGAAGGTTTCAAGTCGATATCTGCCACCGTTTTGCCGCAATCGCCGCGGAAAGTTGAAAAAAAGTATATTTTTCCGAAAATTTGACCTTTGACCGGTCAAAAATAGGTCAAATGTTGACCTAGGACCAAAAAATATACCACCAATCGCGAGATCTCGGCGAGAGCAATCCGTTGGTCTTTTCCGCTAAGCTCTACGACGCTCCGTTTTCAAACGCCAAGGGGGGGGGGTCGCACCAACCCCCCCTGCATGGGCGAAGGTGGCAGATCGCCGTTTACGGGCGAGGGTTAAATGGACCATAAAACATGTGTCACGTGACCGACTTAAGACATAAGATTTCCGTGACCTATGATGACCTGACCCTGACCTGAAAATCAAAGTACAAGTTTGGTACCCTCAGGGTAGGTATTTGAAGCATCTGTTTACGAGTGTGTAAACCAAAAATTAGCCTGATCTGACTTGTAAGACGGCAGCCAGAGCCCAAAAAGTGAACAAGCCAAATATCGATAATTTTTACTTTGACCTGACCTGTGACGTCATCAGTGACCTCGAGGTCAATGAAATTAGGTTTCGCTCGACAGTTATTCAGGGCTATCAGATGCCGTTTGAATTTTGACGATCAGCCCAGTAGTTTCGGAGTTAGGAGGGGGGGGGGGAGGCTATGAATAGCCCCCCCCCCCACCCCCAGTGGGGCGTGTTAAGGTCTAGCTACGATATGCGGGATCCTACGTCCGTGATCTGCGAGTTTGCGGGTCTTGCAGAAAATCGGTACGCAGGTCAAGTTCAGCTGATAGGAAATACACAGGGTCGGCTACACTGGGGTCACGCAGATTCAGTCAAGGAAATCCCGGACGTTCAGTACAGGAAATGCCGGATAGTCAGGACGGTCAGGTCAGGATGTTCCATGCCGATATAAAGTTCAGAGCTACGAACTTTTTTGCAGAATCTGCGAGATTGCGTGATATGAGACAGTTGTTGGCGCACTTGGTGGCGCACCGTATGAATCCAAGTGACGTAATTGATAATTGTTTCTTTAATTTTCATGTGTTTGTGATGTTTTATTAACAAAATAAACTAATTATCAATTAAATAGTATAGAAGATAGCAAAATTAAGCGCTTGTTGCGAGACCATTTATTAGTGGTTATTATTAAGTCAGCATACAATAATTCTCGGAAATTCTGAAAAACGCAGAAACCGATGTCAAGGGAGTCTCGCAATCACGGATCTGCAGATCACGCACGTAATTTCCTGGACGGTCACGCATAGTGTAGCTCAGCCTTTATACACAGACCACAGTGGGGCGCGGGTTAATTAACAATTAATTAACTTTAACAATTAATTAATTCGTATAATGGTGCGGTCACTTGACCGACCTGACCTCATGTGACTCTAAGGAAAATCCGAGATATAAAAGTTGTGAGACCTCTGGAGGATACTACTTAAAACCCGTAAGTTTCATTTCCTTCTGGAAGTTCCTCTGGCACTGAGGGCGTTGCGAAGTTGCGTTGCGATACCTGGGGACCGTTCAGTGGTTCACTTATGACGTCTTAGGTCAGTGACATGACCTGACCTGAAAATGCGGTCGGTGTCACAAGATCCGGCTTGAATCAAAGGTCATGAAGGCCAAGTTTCAGCTCTCTATCTCCGTCGTCTTCCGAGCTATCGCGAAAAAAACTATGTGGGGCGGCACCCGAACCCCCTCGGCCTCCGAGGGTTAAGGTATACGCAATGACATGTGGCATTGCAAAACAACAGAAACGTGTATAATTGGAATTCGTCCAATCTAAAGATAATTGTAGAGAGCAGCAGCGTCCCCAGACAACGGCGGATTAAATCAAAGCAAACTGATATGAAAGATGGGAAACGAATTTGCTCGCCATGAGGATGAGCCCTTTGTGTTTGAAAAGCCGCGGCAAATGGCCTTTTGGGGAAAATCTCATCTGATCCGACGACGGATGCGCTGGCCTTCTGTGTGTTATGCCGATTTAGCTGGAGGAATTGTCCTTTCTGCGGACGGTGTGTGAGGGTGGTCTTAGCTGCCGCCAGACCCCACCAGCGCCATCAGCCGAGGTCGAAGGCCGGCAACCACAAGGACCAGCGGTAGGCGCAACGACGGACTTGATTACGGACGACGCGGTGTCCTTCACTATTAAGAAGAACCGGTTTCTGCAAGACAGTCAAACATATTGTACCCACCTACACAACACTTACTACCAGGAAGCGGTTGAACGCTTTGAAGACTTGATCTGCATGGATATGTGTGCCTGACATTACCTCAAGCATCGAGAAAAACGCATTTTTATTCAAGCCTCAATGGCGTGATGGAAAACAATCGCTGTTGGAATGCGCTAAGTAGATCTGCCAGTCACGTCCGATGCAGCGTTTCGCCTTTATTTAACACGCGTAGTTAGAGAATGCTAGGCAGGTGCTGGAGGTAAAAACAAGTTTAGACAATGAGGAAATGTCAGACTGCTAATATTAATCTCAATTTATCTTAATGTAAAAATGATTGTTAAAATTGAGTTTCGAGTAACACTTACGCGAAAAAACAGTGAAAAGTTCAAGTAGTCCATGTAAAAGTCCGTTCACAGATTCGGCGCACCACGTGTCACCGGATCGAGGCTTTTCCTGGCACCAGCGTATCAGCCAGCAGGCGCACCTAGCCTTCGCCAATCCAAACTGCAACAATACTTCAGGCTCCACAGACTGCGACACACTCCACGGCCTATAGCTTGTGACGTCAGACTTCCAGAGCCAGACACAGGCAGTCTGGTACTGTTTAAATTGCCTCCAGAAAGCTATGAAAGCATCCGCTCTTACGTGACGATCTATATCAGAAAATAAATTGTGTGATATGAACAACAAGAACGCGATTGACCTAGTAATGGCATCTACAGCATGTGGTTTACACTTTACAAGGCGAGTGGTAGATTGGTCAATAAACATTAACAACGTAACATCTGCTTCCATTGAGCCGAGCAGTTTACCGGAGAGTGTCTTATATGTAGCTTAGCTGTCTGACCTGGCCTTCAAACCTCAAACCAGGTCTCTTAACCCTCGATAGGCGAGGGCCTTTTTCATAACACGGGCGGAGAGGGGGGAGGGTGGTTGGTACAACCCCCCCCCCCCGGCGATTGGCTCCTTTGGCACTTAGAAACACCAAATTTACACGGTAGAAGGACCCATAGGAAAGCTCGACCCTCTGCAAATTTGGTGACTCAGTAGAGTCTGGGTCAATATTTAGGGGGTTTCGGCCTTCGGGGGTATAAGTGTAAAAAATTCGCTAAAACACGTCAAAACTTTTTCGCTTATAACGTCTGATCTAGCTAAGGTAGAGCAAAAATAAAAGCACCAGTGAGTTATGGAAAGCGGTTAAGCGGTTATGGAACGCGATTGGCCGGACGTCGTAGAATCTTCGCCGTTCGAGAGACATCGAACGCGGGGTAAATGGTCGGGGATGAACAGCCGACCAATAGTCGTTGACCCGCTCCTAAAAATAATCAATAAACGGTGGTGGACGGTCCTAAACGTCTCAGAAATTTGACAGCGTTTAGAAGTTATGAATGATCGCTTTTAAACCTGCCGGCACGCATCGAAATGTATCATTTCTTGGACCCAAAAGTGATAATCACGCGAATATACCGCGCGAATATATACGCGAATAATAAGGGAGATAATGAGCTTTCTTTTTTCTTTAATAAAAATTACTCGACATCTATACTATTTCTACTGTAGTTTCTATAAAATATGAAAATTTCCTAGCACATTTTCGTATGTGAAAAAGGTTTTTATTTTTGCAAAAAAGAAGCAGTACTTGCAGTACTTGTAACACCCACCGAAATGCGTTGTCCTTCTTGTCCTTCTCTATAAAAAAGTCGCAGTATATGGCGCTTTTGTTTCAAACAGCGACGCTTGGGTTTTTGTTTATGTTATCGCCTTGTCGTTGCTTGGTTGTAAGGATTCTAATTTGAATTAGAGTTAATTCGGTTTAGAATTAATTAGATTCGTACATAGTGCCTACTCTTCTTTGTTTCCAAGTATTATTTTGCGCCACAAATGAACGGCATGCGCCAGAAACGCAGCCAAATCTTGCGATTGCGACTACGAAATTCATTATTTTGGCCTCAGAGCCTGAAGCGAAAAATACAAGCATATTTATTTCAAAAAGACTTCAGGTTTGTCGAACGGTGTTATGAGAATTTTGATAACAGTACTGCATAAGTTTTTCAGTGATGCCGCAAAAGTGTTGTATCTATCTTCTTTTATTGTGCAGTCGGCGGGACCGATTCAAAATTGAGTCGTTGCTACTAAAATAGCAGCATATGGCCTCAGATGATGAACAGGAAAAATAGTTGCGTAAATTTAGACATAAACCACCCCCAAACCATGAATATCTTTTGAAGGCACTATAGACGACCATTAACTAACTAGATGTGATGAAGATCAAATGTAAGGAATACGCTCATTTTACAAAATTACATGCAAGTACCAAAAAGTGATGTAAGTACTTATTCAACGGTCATTTTCAGCGCTCCCCGCTAACGTGACTTCAAGTTGAGATATTTGCGGCAAGGTACCGCATTGAGCAAAATGGTTTTAATTTACATTATAACTTGTTGTGTTTTGTCAGAAAATGATCCTAACTCAGATTTTGTGGAAAAAGGTCATTATCTCCCTTTAACAATAATGGAAACGCATTCCAACATCAACGCACGAAAATACATTATATGCCCCACGTTTCCGAAACTATCAATATCAAATCAGTAAAAACATCAAAGCTTTGGATCTGATAGCCAGAGCTCAGATTTTGTCGCTAATCCGGTTTGCGATCCATTCATGAAAAAAAAACGTCATATGCGTAGAGACCTTGAAAAGAGACTAAAACCATCGGCCAATCTGCTATTGTCCATTGTCACATTGATTTCCCTTAGATGAGACCATAATTTTGCCGCTCTTTCTTACGTTCTTATGTCAATGACATAAGCCAAACTAGTTCTTTTTTAGTCACCATGGCTACAGTCCTAAGTCGTCTTTGGACATCGTCCACCAGAAACATAATATAATAACGCATATCACGAACTCGGTTTGTTATCGATCAATTACCCAGCGGTGCCACCCTTGTGGCGGCTGGACGGCCGTTTTCCAGAATCATTTCGCGGATTAACCGATATGGAGGCAAATAAGCGCAGGAAACAGCCAACATCCGCCGAACCGGTCAAAGGCCACTGACGCAGCCCGCCGCTCGCCGCCCCCACACCCCACCCGCCAATGCCGAAAACGACCACATCAGCGGCCGGGGCGGCGGCGTGGGAGCTGCTCAGCGGCTCGAGCTGGTCCTCCTGCAGCCGGAGCCCGGAGCGGTACCAAACACGGCCGAAAAAAAAACGGCGCGCTACACCGACTCGCACTGCTCGGCGGCCGGCTCAGACGCTGCCGGGCACCCGTGTCAACCTGGTAAAAGATAAAGTTTTCCTATTGACTGTCATCGACTGAGCGGTTCAAACGATGTCGAGAAGCAGGTTTATCAGATAAAGTTGGAAAATATCGGGGAGTACAGCCCGCGAACGTATGTGTACACCAACTACACATGCCATAACAGTGAGCAGTAACGGACCGTCCGAGAGTTTTCAGCCCCCGTTCGATAAATGTACGCCAAACCACAGAACACAGCTACGATCATAAAGACATCCTATTATGTACATTGATGATGGTCTCTGAGACATACAGGCGAACATAAGGGACAGACATACGAAAAAGCCTGGATATATCAGCAGTCAGTTTCTATACCGGTTATCTATGACATGTTCATAGATGAAAAGAAATTATTTTGATCTCTTCCAATCTTGCATCAAGTACTGTGTATCCCTATACGATGAACAGCGGACCTGATATAATATTGAAGCGAGAGACTAATATGAAACACATTAAACACAGAATAGAATGAATAACAATGAACGCTGACCTGACAGTGGCGCTGAATGACAGCTGGGTGACCCCTGGCCTAGCAGTGGGGACAGTATGGGTGACCGCCGACCTGGCAGCCGCAGTAGGGGGCAGTATGAGCTCTGACCTGGCAGTAGGGACAGTATGATCTCTGACCTGGCAGTCGTGACAGCATGGGTGACACCTGACCTGACAGTAGGGGGCAGTATAAGCTGTGGCCTAGCAGTGGGGGCAGCATGAAACAGTGACCTGTGACCTGGCAGTGGGAGACAGTATAGGTGACCCTGACCTGGCAATGCATGGGGACAGTATGACTTCTGACCAGGCAATGCATGAGGACAGTATGACTTTTGACCTGGCAATGCATGGGGACAGTATGACCTCTGACCTGACCGTGGGGGAAGGATGACAGTGACCTCTGACTTGGCATCGGGGGCAGTAGCTGACCTGGCAAAGGGGGCAGTAGCCGACCTGGAAAAGGGGGCAGTAACTGAACTGGGTGGAATGACACAATGATCTGTGACCTGGCAGTAGGGACCCTGACCTAACAGTGGAGGCAGTAGCTCAGCTGGCCGCTGGGGACCGTATGACCTGTGATCTGACAGTGGGGACACTGACTTGGCAGTGGGGGCAGTAGTTCTGCTGGTCGGTGGGGACACTGACCTGGCAGTGGGGGCAGTAGCTGAGCTGACCGGTGGGTGTGGCCGCCGCCGTTCGCAGAGTGTCGGCCAGGCGATCGGTCGGCGGCAGCAGTCCCGGGGCGGCCGTCACCGCCCGATGAAAGGTGACCACGAAGGCAGTCAGTACCACGCCGGACAGGCCGGTGACGTACAGCGGCACCAGAGCGTCTGCAGTCGGCACGCTAAGGAACATCGGCGCTCTCGGCCAGCCGGCCTCAGACAGCAGACACGGGCGCAGGCCCGTCGCATTCCCCGGCCACAGCCAGTGTCAGCACGACACGCCGCCGCCGCTGGTCAGACAACGCTTCAGCCCAGACACGCTCCCCTGCAGCCAGACACGCACGCAAAACCAGGGCCGATCGTCCGAGGCCCTCCCGCACACTATGTTTACGCCGGCTGCATTCATGAATGGGTTTCGTGACTCAGTTGAAGAAGTTGAGTGGTTGCCAAATGGACTTTTGTTTGCCATGCAGGGAACAATGCACATCTTCCTATGATTCCATTGGCATGATCATTTTTATCTCATTGTCTAGATTTCCGGTGCTATATGTTTTCCAGAGGATTGATATCAACATCACTCCCATAACCATAACGCGCAGGGCCAGCTTTTTCAGGGCATCAAAGTGGACCGAACATTTCGCTGACGTAACCGTTCATTCACGGAATTGGTCCGATCAGTGCCGGCGGCTGCGGCGCGTCAGTAAAAAGCGGCCGCCGGAAAACCTCGCCAGCGCCGGTCACCCTTTTTAGCGTCTCCCGGCACGGCAGGGGCAGCTGCGACCGGCGCCGTGCGCACGTTCCCGGCCACACAAAAATCTACCATCCGCGGCTGATTACACCCAGCAGCACAGAACGGGAGACAGAATACAGACCCGCAATGCGGGCATCCCACCACAAGGACACAACATCACAGGGCGGTCAGATCACTAATAAAAATGCTCAGCGATTTCCTAATGGAGCCATTCCTGTTCAAAGGCGGCAAATCGTGAGCCCATTAGCTTTTTAGGAAAGGTTGCTTTGAATGTAGCCGCCGGCACACCAAGCGAGTAATATCAGAGAGGGCGGCATGAGAGATCGGGAGAGCTTGTTGAATGTTTGCAAGTGTCTTTGGGATATTCTATGGCGTACGGAGAGAAGAAGACGAAGAGAGAAGACAGGCGGCAAGAAAGGGGACCAGGGAGAGACAGAGACAGAGACAGAGACAGAGACAGAGACAGAGACAGAGACAGAGACAGAGACAGAGACAGAGACAGAGACAGAGACAGAGACAGAGACAGAGACAGAGACAGAGAGAGAGAGAGAGAGAGAGAGAGAGAGAGAGAGAGAGAGAGAGAGAGAGAGAGAGAGAGAGAGAGAGAGAGAGAGAGAGAGAGAGAGCGAGAGAGAGGAGCACTGGAATAAGCGTGAAGGCCCGAAGGGATTTCTGGACCGGCCGGCGCAATATTGGCCGGAAGCGGGTGGGTGGTGGCGCCGGACCGTGTGGGCGTCTGGTGACGGATGGCGTGAGTGCCGACCCGTTGCCGGCCGTCTGCGGCCGACACTCCCCCGGCCGACACACAGAGCGGTCACCCCCCGCCAAGGCCAACGCAGCGCGCCAAACAACGACCGAGTGCCCCGCGACTAGTGATGTCAATTACGGAAAATCGGAATACCGATACCAAACCAAATACCAACCAAAACCGTGGGGAAATACCGAAACCAAACCAATTTGGAATCATGATGAAAATACCAACTTTTTACCAATTTTTTAGCCTCTTATACATTAGTGAGGGCTCATGATACCAACAAAATACCGATTACACTAGGATTGAAATACCAAATACCAAGTTGGTATCGGTTTTGTAATCGGTATACCAAAAAGTTGGTATCCGATTGACATCTCTACCCGCAACCATCCGACTGCGACAGACAATAAACCCCTGCACACCGGCTGACAGCCGCACCGGCACTCTGTAACCATGTACGGTCACAAAACAAAGCCCCAAGATAAGCCTAATGAAAAGACATTTATGGTTGTCCGAATCTTCAATGATCCTCAAAGCAAATACTTATTCAAAGAGGTTTAAAATCTTTAAATAAATGTAATCCGATGTTACGATGCTAGCTTTTAAGCCTACCTACAGCCGAATCTAAAAAGGGCATCAGCACAAGCGACATTAAACGATCGGTGGTACACTTGGAATCGTGTTGAAATGCTTTAGCGATCCACACAAGCCGCAAATTCTTTACACAGGAAAGAGGATCCGCTAGATGAGCGCCACAATAACAAAATGCTGTAAAGGCGATCCAAATCCTGAGATCGCCCCCTTTTTATGACAGTCCGTAAGCCGTGTAAATAGCCTGATGCCTATCAGTTAAAGGGAATATACCACCGGGCTGACCCGGTTGAGGATGCGGTTGAATAAGGCAAACCAAGGTGGTAACACTACTCCAAGCGATCTTAGCCGCGCCCGGCAAGGATCCAAGAATATTGAGGATACTTTCAGGTCATCTCATGGAAATAAGCGTTGAAGTTACCGGTGAGAGCCAGTGTCTAACACATCTGTCACTGCTACTCAGCTGGTTCCCTTTGCCACCCACCTGGTCCCTTCATTATCCGCATACCACCCGCTCGCTCCTCATACCACAGGCCGCGACCCTGCAACCACTTCTCTGGCACCGGCCCCCAGCCTGCTGACGTACTGTCCCCAGTTCCCACCAGTACCAACTCACAAACTAACCACAGAACATGCCAAAAATATACCCTCACATCCTTGTGATTGACATGCAGATATGGGACAGTTGGGCGCCTGACAAGACTAAGTTTCAAAACGCTTAACAGCCCTTATCAAGCGCTGGACATCATACTACTGCTGGGACACAACCCAGCGATACGGCAGATACGACCAGCGTGTTACACCGGCCATCAGCCGCTGACACTGTTCCGCTCCATCTGAAAGGACGGTCGGTGTGCGACCGTGTCACGTCTGAGGAGCTGGCTGTCGGCCGTCGCGGGACGGACCGCGGCAGGACAGGCAGACGGGACGGATCGGGCCGCAGTCTCCGGACCAGCAGCGAAACTAACGGGGGGATGAAAATAGCGTCCTCCACTGAAACACGTTAGGACTAGGAGTATTACGCTCCTCCCCATTTAGTCATTAGCTTTCACTGCCGCTGAGGTATGCAGGTCCACTTTCAAACAGTAGCGTTTGGATGACGCTGGGTTTTAGGAGCGCCCGGTCTATGTTGATTATCGGCGCCCACAACAAGTTGTAGGGCAATATTTAATAACGATTTTAATCAGCTGTGACAACAGCACCATCACCGACCACAAAAACCGCATTTGTTTAAACAGTTGATTAAGTAACTATTCAAGGTCCACCAAGAGGACATGGCGGACATCTTGACGAGGATGCGAGGAAAACTTCGAACTTCTTGCTTCAAGGTCCGTAGATTATTGGATGCATGGAACGTCTTCAATCCTACGCTGTGTGATGTAAGGTAATGAATTTTTTTGGGAAACACTTAGTCTGGGAGTTGGATGAAACAGCTCCTGTAAGTACGTCACAAAGAAACGCAGGTACAGGTCTCGCGGGTTTTAGCGGTAGGTTTTGCACCTAGAAAATGTAGGGTACTTCAGGCTATATCTTCGTCGTCTTAAGCTTTTAAGTGTTGAAGATGCGATCGACTTGTTGGTTCACAAGCCGGCCATGATCGTGTAAAATGGCTTCATCGTTGATCGATTAGTTTCTGAGATATAACCGGAAATGTAAAAGTGCAAAACCTACCGCTTAATCTCGCGAGAGCCGTACCTACTCGATAAATTATTCGTCAAACCGCAGCATCGTCTCTCAGATAATTTTGCCAGTCACCAGAGAAACTTAAAAGGTACCCCGGTTGCACATGTTATTCGACTGAACTCTGATCACCCTTCAGGAGTAATTCATTGCCCTGTGTCGAACAGTGCCATAAAAACACTGGGTAAATCTAATCGCCATCCAGCAGCGGATGAGTGGCGTTATCAGGTGCACTGAGTGCATGCTGGTACACTGTATGACAATTATGGAACCGCCTGACAAGGACAGGAAACTTATCAATGCGAGCTCAACTAAAATGGTCTATAAAACTTCCTTTCCTACAATAGCTTCTAGTGATCACGCCTATGGTAGTGCCGATCCTCTGCACCGACTCAGCAACACAAGTGATGGATTTTAATGGCAGTTATCGCCGGCAGTTGAATGGCCGTTGATTGTGAAAAAGGCCTGAAGGTCGTCCCGACGTCGGCTAGTGGCAGACAGACTGTCTGGTCCGCCCAACTACGTTCTTCCCGAGGCGCCCTCGTGGCGAGCCGCCCGTACCAAATCGCATGTTGCAAAGAGAATACCGGTCCACTTGTATATTTCAAGACAATATCAATAACATACATGACACACAATACAATAATCAATGCGAACATAAATTACTCAGGGAAGGATGAGGCGCGTGGGCGCGACGCGGCAGACACATGGTAACACTGAGATCCCGGCACAGGCGGCCGGACTGACGGCGGCAGCGGGGCGGACGCGCCGTCAGTCGCGCTCCGAGGCGCTGCCAATCGTTCACTCGCTCGGCCAGCCGCGCCCCGTGGCGCCGGCCAGCTCGGGCGCGTCCACAGACAGAGCGGCACACTGATACACACATACGCACACGCACGGCACGCGCCGATACTCTGAGGATAACTGACTCGCGGGCCGCGGCGGCGGCGGCCTTGCTGACTGGCGGTCTGCGGCCGACCGGCGCCGGCTCAGTGCAGCCGCCGCCGCGCCGACCGCCGCCGGCGCCGGTGTCGCGGAGTCGTCAGCGACTGAGAGTCGCCGTCGGCCGGGCCGGCGCCGCTCCGTCTCTCGGCGCAGACGCATGCCGTGTCAAGCTCGACAGGCCAGCCGCCGACGTCGATGGTCTGGGTCTGCTGCTGGCAGACGGCGCCCTCGCCGGCGGCGCACGGCTGGCCGGGCTTGGCGCAGCGCCGGCTGGTGAACGTGACGTTACCCATGGTGGGCGTGGAGACGGTGATGGTCGAGGTGCGGTACGGACACACGGAGCCCGAGCACAGTGCGCCGTCGGCGGTCGGCTCGCACGCGCCGCCAGCTTCCTCGGGCAGCGAGGCCGCCGACGGCGTGGAGCGCAGCATCATCTGGTGTGCGGCCGAG